CCCCCCCCAAAATTTGATTTGCTCGCAAATTGCATTCCAGAGAAATTTGCATTTGCTCACAAAACGTTTGGGTTCCCTGTGAAATTTACTCTATTTGCACATGTTTTGCGTTTCCAGAGAAATTTGCATTCGCTCGCAAATACTTTGTTCTGTATTATTTGCTCGCCAAAATTTTGCATTCTCTGAGAAATTTGTATTTGTTTGTTTCAGTGTTTTTTGTGACAGAACACAACATTTCTCAGGGAAATGCAAAAGATTTGCAACTGATCCCATTAGTGATCCCTATCAAGCCGTCTAAATCCATATGATCAAAATAGCATGTTTGGGGTTGAATTAAACGGTGTAAGTGGGAGCCCCAGCATCATGAGTGGAAACTCACTAGAGAACTGGCAGTCAGTTGATTAGCTGGGTCTGACAAATACAGCTCCACGTGATCTCACTTCAGTATGTGTATGTGTGTTGTGTTCTCAGGTGACAGAGGAGACGGCGCAGGTGGCTCAAACGCTTGGCTACAGCGTAACTCTGAGAGGAGTGATCCACGTGAAGGGCAAAGGACAGCTGAGCACGTACTTCATCAACACCGAGCATCCAGTGCAGTGACCACAGAACGCTTTTAACACCCATCTGACACAGACTGAGACTGTGATGAGTGTTTCACTAAGGTCCTCTGCGAACACTCACCAAACATCCTCTGTCTGCTACGAATGCCACGAAAGAACTGAACTAGTTAGCACTTAGATTTAACCAATTCTAGTACTTTTTAAAAATGATTTCTTCAAGAAGTTTCTTCTTTGTGAAGTTAATCTGTTGTTTTAAACAATGCAAAGTTGCCAACTTTTCTAACTTTCCAAAGTCCCTCGTGACTGTAGTTTTATATTGAATTTCTAATATTTTCCTTAACTTGTGCACTTATTTATTAATGGCTGTTAATATTTATTTAATGTTTTGTATGTTTAATGTGAAAAGTAAGAGTGTATAATATCATGTCTAAAATGTATAATGTTTCATAAAAAAGTTGTTTGTTGTGTTTAATATTTAACCATTTTGTGACTAATAAAATGGATAACTAACAAGAAAATAAAAAAAGTAGACTCTTAAAATTGTTTTTAGTTCATAACGTATGGAGCCCCTAAAAAGATGTGGTGATGGAGAAAATATGATAAATTAAAATTATAGTTAATTATGACCTAAATCATTTTTTTTAAATATTCAAACATTCCCCTGAGAAACATTGGCGACTGAAATATACTACTACTAGCGATAACATCGTTCTGCTCCTACCAATATCTTAGTTTGTGACGACGAGTTCAACGCGTTCTAGGGAGCTTCTTGTGTTGGCGGACAGCGCTTCAGCGGTGGTCGTTGCTGTGTCGAGTGGGTTGCGCACTTCAGGCTGCACTACCCCTGTTGTGCCGCAAGCGGCTGTTTCCCCTGTGCGCCTCAGCACCTAAAAGAGCATTTCCCTGAAAGAGCTTATTTCTCTAAAAGAGCTTACACAGATGCGTCTTTGTAAAGACGACGGATCGTCTTTTTAAAGATGAGTTTCATGAGTCATGTTCCCATTGCAGGAAGATGACCATCTCGGAGCTGCGGGCCAGGCTCCGTTTCCTCCAGGGGGTCGGAGCTCCGTTGCCTCTGCCGCGATCTAGTGTTCGTCCTAGTGGCAGCCAGGCGGGGGCTACTTCGGGCAGTAGCACGGGCGGTCTGAGGGTTACATTGGTGGCAAACCCCTCAGGGTACCAACCCTCGGGGGACCATCGCTCCTCTAGCGCTTTGCAACCAGTTGAGCCGCCAAAGGAACGCGCTGGGCCCTCTTCAAAGAGCGTACCAGTGGTATCCTTTGGTGCTCCTCCCGACGACTGGATGTCGATCACTGCATCGGAGGGAGAGCTCTCTGGAGAGGAAGATTCAGCTGCGCTGCCGCCCTCCGGGACGGTAGCAACGCCTGAATCAGATCCAGAGATGTCGGCTATGCATTCCCGGGTCGCCGAGAGGGTAGGGCTCGAGTGGAAACCTCCACCGAGTCCCGAGCCCTCGAGGTTGGATGATTGGTTTCTCGGGGTGGCTCGCGCTGGTTCTCAGCGCCCCGCCCCAGTGCCTTTCTTCCCGGAGGTGCATGAGGAGCTCACCAGGTCATGGACGGCACCTTTTACTGCCAGAAACCGACCTGCTGGTTCCTCCTCCCTCACCACCCTCGACGGGGGTGCAGCTAAGGGATATACGGCGATTCCCCCCCTGGTGGAGCGGTCGGTAGCGATGCAGTTGTGTCCTAAGACTGCGTGCAGCTGCTGCCTCCACCCGTCCGCCGGCCGCAGCGCCCCAGCCTGCTCGTCGCCGAGGGTGCCCCCCTGCGTCCGCCCCCGCTCCCGCGCTGCATCCGCATCCGCCTCAAGCAAGCGGCGCCATTCAGCTGGGTGTAAGCAGGCAGCCCCACTCGTCCAGGCCCCCGTAAATCCTGGCAGAACCTGAGCGGAAGAGCAAGAGGCCCCGGGACGGGCGACCCAGAGAGAGAGCTGCTCTTTGGGGGATGGTGCATGCACCTCTCCCTCCCCCGGAGGAGGGCCGGGTGGAGAATCTCTGTCTCTGGATCCAAGAGGGCCACGGAGAGTCGCGGACGGACCAACACTGGACCACACTCATCAAATCTCGACAGGAGAGCGGTTTTCTCTGTCTCTGGGTCCCAAGAGGGCATGGAGAGTCGCGGACGGACCAACACTGGACCACACTCATCCTCCTCTCTCGCCAGCAGGCAGCAGCTGGCGGTTTGAGAGCATCATCAGAATCAGAATGAGCTTTATTGCCAGGTATGTTTTCACATACGAGGAATTTGTTTTCATGACAGAAGCTTCCGCAGTGCAACAGAATGACAGCGACAGAACAAAAAACACAGACAATAAAAGAAGGATAAAAAATAGAACAAGTAAATAAGGAGGGAGGGTTGTACCAATGATTCGCTCAGCAGTCCGGACTACTCTCTGTAGTCTTCTGAGGTCTGATTTGGTAGTTGAGCTGAACCAGACAGTTATAGAAGTGTAGAGGATGGATTCAATGATAGCAGAGCAGAACTGTCCGAGAATGATTAAAACAGAGTCCGGGTGTTGTTGTTCTGTCTCTGTGATCTGATTAGCGAGTTTCTGTAAAGCTGAGCTCACGTGCGCTTGCGGAGGAATGTAGACACTGACGAGAATGAATGAGCAAAACTCCCGCGGCGAGTAGAAAGGCTTACAGTTAATGAAAAGAGCTTCTAGATCTGAACAGCACATCTTCTTTAACAAGGTTACATCTGTACACCACCTTTCATTGATGTAAAAGCATGCCCCATTGCGGGTACGGTGGTGGTCCCACTGGTCCCGCTTGCACGGTATCTGGGTGCCTGGCTAGCGCTACCTAGCCCAAGACGGCGAGACGCTGGCTTCTGTGGACCATCAGCCTCGGCTATGCGATTCAGTTCGCCCGGCGTCCCCCCAAGTTCAGTGGCATCTGCTTGATGGCAGTGAAGGCGGACGATGCTCCTTTCTTGCGTGCGGAGATCGCAGTCCTACTGGCGATTGTATGTAGACCGGACACAAAGCTTTAAGACCTCAGACCAGCTCTTCGTCTGTTACGGAGGCCGGCAGAAGGGGAAGGTCATCTCTAAGCAGAGGATGGCCCACTGCATATTGGATGCCATCACCCTGGCTTATCAGGCACAGGGTGTGCACTGCCTGCTCAGGTTGCAAGCTCACTCTACTAGAAGTGTTGCATTCTCCTTGGAGCTGGCTCGTGGTGTCCCTGGAACTGCTTCCGTTTTACAACAGTGAGCGCAAGCTAGATTAAAGTGATTATTACGTTTTGAATATGGATATTTTTCTTACAAAAACGCATCGATTCGCTACAGAAGACCTTTGTTCATGCCCCAGAGCCGTGTGAGACACTTTTTTTTAAATGGATGGGCACTTTTTATTTAACTTCTTTTGGACTGATGCATGCAACACCCGCTGAGTGCCATGGAACAGCTTGAAAGATCAAAGACAATTTTTAATATAACTCCGACTGGATTCGTCTGAAAGAAGAAAGTCATATACACCTAGGATGCCTCGGGGGTGAGTAAAACACAGCCTAATTTTCATTTTCGAGTGAACTAACCCTTTAAATCTAATTGTATGTTTAATTAATAATATGTTTACACATCTATTTCTGTAATAATTAAAAAAAATAATTACATTATTCCCTTCTGTAATTACATATTTGTTCATTAAATGGTTTGATGAATAAGTACTATATTAGATGTCATGTAGAGTTGTAATGAGGTGTGTGTTCTAGCGTGTCTGTGACCCATGTCTTGCTCTGTGGTCTGTCTCTCTGCAAATAACATATCACACTGCAGGACAGCAGGAAAATACGTCTCTGTAAATAGTTAGTTTTTAAAATATTTTCAACAGAATGCAGTCTATGTTTATGTATGTTTACAGATGTAAATGTTTAATTTTATAAAAACAAACTGTCCTCATGTGTGTTTTGTCATGTTGTATTCCTTTTGATGGGCATCAAAATAATCAAACTTAAAAAAATAATAATAATTATGGGCAATTATAATAGCAAATATGTTATGTTTTACCATTTAAAATAAATATTTAGTTTAAGAGAGGAATTATTGAAACAACAAAATACATAAATAAAACGTTATTAATTAAGGTTTATTGGGTGTCCATAGCTGACTGCTATATGCACTATAGATGATGGGCATCAAAAATGTCAAACTAAAATACATTATTTATGGATGAACATTATAATGTCACGTAAAAATAATAATCGAGCGTTGTTCTTATTTGATTTTTTTTATTAATAACATAATGTTTTGGTCTAGTAAAATCATAAATGCATAAATAACCCAAATTTAAGTAGTAATAGTAATAATAAAAAGTTTAATAGTAATGCATTTTAATAACATCTAAACAGAAATTCAGTGTATTTAATTTTGTCGTTTAAAAATAAATATATATTCTTAGGGAACAAAAAAATAAATAAACTGAGATAAAAAAAAACGTGATTTACGCATTGATCGCGGTATTCATTTCAGGGATCGCTGGCAGCCTTGTCTCTGGCGTCATATGCTGGGGACGGAAGTGCGGTCCGCGTGACGTCATCAGCAGGTTCCTGTCCGCAGCGGCGCTCCTGGCGTTGTGTTATTATTCGGTTTAATCGCTAAATCTCAATCAATCCGACCGTTTACTGCATTAGACGGGCATTATTCGTCCTTCTCGTGTGATTAACGGCTGATCGAAGCGCGTCGAACGGTGAGGCGATCATCGAAACACATACAAATACTCCGACATTAATGTGTGTGAAAATGCTAGGGTTTTGTTCCTTAATCATTACTGTTTCATAAATGTCCAATTCATCGAGAAAACTCCCGTTCTGGCCGTGCTTACAGGTTCACTGTGTAATAAATAAAGACGCAAGTTCATATAATACATTAAAAACAACGAAACCCTGAGAGAATTGAAGAAGCTGCTGTTTATGTGAGGATTTAGACACTTCGTGTAATAATAAATCAATATTAAAAACATTCAGATCTTACATATTCAGATCAGAATATGTAAATATGAAGTGAAACGTCTTGAATTCTGGATGAAATCTGGTATTTTTCCCCAAATTCCGTTTGTTTTCCGTTTTAATTTTTTTCTGGACTCATTTTTAATGGTTAAATTAAAAGTTATTAATCGATAAGCATGTCTAATTAATTAAAATAATGAAACATCAATTTATTAAAAGCTTAACAAAAAAAAAACATGTTTCGGGCCCCGTGATGTGTTTTATGTTTTCTCACCATATATCAAACTCTGTTTTAGCATGTGTAGTTATTTGAATGCATGAAAACAACTTGATTTATTCAAAATTGTTCTTTTTTCCTTCTCAGAAATTCTTTGTTGTGTGTTTAATATTTTCAGGTTTTCAGATGAAGGCATAAAACATTAATTTAATTTATCTTCACTGAAAGACACCTGACAGAGATTTCAAGAAGCCGCGGTGTGGATTTGAGGACACTTCGTGTAACAATAACTCAATGTTAAAGCCGCCTGATGTGTTTGTGTTCAGCTGCACTGAGGCGCGATGACGTCACCGGGGGGCGGGGCTCTGGCCGCGAGGGGCGGAGCCACGGTCAAGAGGATGAAGTGGTCTCTGGAGCTGAGCCTGGGCAACAGCAGGTGCTGCATCACGTCCGGCCTCGTTAACCTCGTTAGCAAGCAGCGCTGACGGGCTTCTCTGTGCTTCTCCGCAGGAACCGTGGCGACAGGCAGAGCAAGGACGGAGACGTCATGTATCCGGTGGGATACTCGGATAAACCGGTCCCGGACACCAGCGTGCAGGAGGCCGACCGCAACCTGGTGGAGAAGGTGACGCGCTAACCTCTGAAATACTACACCAAACGCTCTCAACACTTCATCAGAATGGAACAAACCAGGGTTTTTCTAGTTAAAGGCAGAGGGCCGGAGCAATACACTGAACTCCGTTCCGACCAATATATTATATCTCGTCATATAAAAAAGTAAATGAAACATCGCAATCATGTGGAGCGCACAGTTAATCACTATTTCATGAACATTCACAAAAACAGTTGCAGTGCTTCAAAAACTACCATCACAACTCAAAGCGTAAAAAAAGCAAGTATTTCTAAGATTAGCATCTTTTTATAGATATCTGAAACTGTACTAATATATATATATATATATATATAAATAAAAATGGCGTTTGGTCTCGTACTGTATCGCGTACCTTGTCAGTGTCGTGCGCTTTGCTTGGCCATTTGTTGTGATAAACAGGAAAGTGTGTCCAGCTGAATTCAATTTGAGTTTTGTTAGACGAATTAAAAAGAAGCGTAGTTTACCGCGGCTGCGGTCGTGTGAAGACCGAAGAGTGTAAAGACCATCGACTCTAGCGTGCGACTCCACCGGGCAGGACACCGGCAAAGGACCTAAGTATCGCTTTTTATCTCTCCTCTTTCCACTTCTGTTTCAGGTTTTTATAATCATTTCTTACTATGTGTCAGTAAGTTGTTGTTATTTTAGCATGTGTGTTTGCCTCAGTGTTATTTTTTTAGGATTACTGATGAACTAATGTACTTTGATTTGTATTAGTTATCTATTTTAGTTTTAGTTACAGTTGTTTTTTGGTGTTTGGCTTAGTGTTATGTTAGAATCATTATTATACTCATACCTTTTGTTCTTTTAATATTTTTGAATTGTTTTTAGCTTTATTTTGTTGTTTTCATTTAAATGTTTTAGTTTTGAAATACTGTTGTATGCATTTGTCATTTTTATTTATTTAATTTCTTTTATTTTCTTAAATGTGTGTATATATATATATATATAGTATTTATAGAGTTTTAGCTTTTAGTTTTAATTACTTTTTCTTATTTGTAAGTCGCTTTGGATAAAAGCGTCTGCTAAATGACTAAAAGTAAAGTAAAGTAAGCATCATTTTGCAATTCCAGCGTTACGGACAAAACCTGAACCATAGATTCTCACAGAATGTGTTCAGAAGCGTCTCGTTTTATTTTTCTAAACCCTGAAAATAGAGTCCAGACGTCAGAAGAGTATCAGTCTAAAGGTGTTTTATATCTTAGATGAGGGAAATACTCCTGCTTTATAGATGTGACAAAGGCCAGAGATTTGGGAGACAACATAAAGGCTGTAAAAGGCTGTTTTAATATATAT